AGTCAGTCATCGCACAATATGGCTGTTACTGTGTACAATGTTCTCCTGGTTCTGCTCACTTCACTCACCATCAGTCCATATAAGTCTTTCCAAGTTTTTCTGAAGTCTTTCTGCTCATCATTTCTTATAGCATAACAATATTCCATTACATTCATGTACAACAGCTTGTTCAGCCATTTCCCAATGATGGACAATCTGCTCAATTTCAAATTCTTGGACAGCATGAAAAGAGCCGCTATAAATATTTTTGTGTATTTGGGTCCTTTTCCCATTTTTCTGGTCTCTTTGGGATACAGATCTAGAAGTAGTATTACTGGGTTAAAGCTTATGCACAGTTTTATAGCCCTTTGGACATAGTTTCAAATTGCTCTACAGAATGGTTGGATCAGTTCACAACTCCACCAACAATGCATTAGTGTTCCAATTTTCCCACATCTTCTCCTATATTTCTCATTTTCCTGTTTTGTCATGTTATCCAATCTGATAGGTGTGATGTGGTACCTCAGAGTTGTTTTGATTTGTATTTCCCTAATCAATAGTGATTTAAAGCATTTTTCATATGACTATGGATAGCTTTAATTTCTTCCTCTGAAAACTGCCTGTTCATATCCTTTGACCATCATCAATTGAGGAATGACTTGTATTTTTATAAATTTGATTCCATTCTCTATATATTTTAGAAATGAGGCCTTTATCAGAGACACTGGTTGAAAAAATTGTTTTCCAGCTTTCTGCTTCTCTTCTAATCTTGGTTGCATTGGCTTTGTGCAAAAGCTTTCAATTTAATGTAATCAGAGTTACCCATTTTGTATTTTGTAGTGTTCTCTACCTCTTGTGTTGCCATAAATTCCTCCCTTCTTCATAGATCTAATAGGCAAACTATTCCTTCCTCTCCTAGTTTGCTTATAGTATCCATCTTTATATCGAAATCATGTACCATTTTGATTTTTTTCTTGGTATAGGGTATAAGATGTTGGTCTATGCCTAGTTTCTGCCATGCCGTTTTCCAATTTTCCCAGACGTTTTTGTTAAATAGTGAGTTCTTATCCCAGAAGCTGAAGTCTTTGTATTTATCAAATAGTAGATTATTATAGTCATTGACTGTTGTGTCTTGCATACCTAGACTATTCCATTGATCTGCCACTCTACTTCTTAGCCAGTACCAAGTTTGATGATTGCTACTTTATAATACAATTTAAAATTTGGTACAGCTAGACCACCTTCCTTTACATTTCTTTTCATTAGTTCCCTTGATATTCTGAAACCTTTTGTTCTTTCAGATGAATTTTGTTATTGTTTTTTTCTAGCTCTATAAAATAATTTCTGGTAGTTTGATTGGTATGGCACTGAATTAAGTAAATTAGCTTAGGTAGAATTGTCATTTTTATTATATTAGCTCAGCCTACCCATGAGCAATTGACATTTTTCCAGTTATTTAGATCTGACTCTATTTGTGTGAAAAGTGTTTTATAATTGTGTTCATATAATTCCTGAGTTTGTTTTGGCAGGTAGACTCCAAACATTTTATAATGTCTATTGTAAATTTAAATGGAATTTCTCTTTCTATCTCTTGCTGTTGGGCTTTGTTAGTAATATATAGTAATGCCAATGATTTATGTGGGTTTATTTTATATCCTGCAACTTTGCTAAATTTGTTTATTATTTCAAGTAATTTTTTACTTGATTCTCTAGGATTCTCTAAGTATGCTATCATATCATCTGCAAAGAGTGGTAGCTTTGTTTCTTCTTTGCCTATTCTAATTCCTTCAATGTCTTTTTCTTCTCTTATTGCTAAAGCTAACACTTGTAGTACAATATTGAATAACAGTGGTGATAATATATATCCTTGTTTCACCCTTGATCTTATCAGAAATGTTTCTAGCTTATCCCCATTACATATAATTCTTGCTGATGGTTTTAGATAGATATTATCTATCATTTTAAGGAAGACTCCATTTATTCCTATGCTGTCTAGTGTTTTTAATAGGAATGGGTGTTATACTTTTGTCAAAAGCTTTTTCTGTATCTATTGAGATAATCATATGATTTCTGTTAGTTTTGTTATTTGATATGGTCAATTATGTTAATAGTTTTCCTAATATTGAACCAGCCCTACATTCTTGGTGTATAAATCCTACCTGGTCATAGTTATTATCCTTAAGATAAGTTGCTGTAATCTCTTTGCTAATATTTTATTTAGAATTTTTGTGTCTATATTCATTAGGGAAATTGGTCTCTAATTTTTTTCTCTGTTTTAGGCTTTTCCCTGTTTAGGTATCAGCATTATATTTGTATCATAAAAAGAATTTGGTAGGACTTCTTCACTTATTTTCCCAAATAGTTCATGTAGTATTGTAATTAGTTGTTTGTTAAATGTTTGATAGAATTCACTTGTAAATCCATCTGGCCTTGGAGATTTTTTTTTCCTTAGGGAATTCATTGATGGCTTATTCAATTTTTTTTTTCTGAAATGGGTTATTTAAGTATTTTATTTCCTCTTCTGTTAACCTGGACAATTTATATTTTCATAAGTATTCATCTGCTTCACTAAGATTGTCAAATTTATTAGCATACAGTTGGGCAAAATAGGTCATAATTATTGTTTTAATTTCTTCTTCATTGGGGGTGAATTCACCCTTTTTATTTTTTATGCTGGTAATTTGGTTTTCTTCTTTTTTTAATCAAATTAACCAAAGGTTAATATATTTTATTGTGTTTTTTTTTCATAAAACCAACTCTTAGTTTTATTTATTAGTTCCATAGTTTTCTTAATTTCAATTTTATTAATCTTCTTTTGGTTTTCAGAATTTCTAATTTGGTATTTAACTGGGGATTTTTAATTTCTTCTTTTTCTAGCCTTTTTAGTTGCATGCCCAATTCATTAATCTCTTCTTTCTCTATTTTATTCATGTAAGCATTTAGAGATATCAAACTTCTCATTAGAACCGCTTTCACTGCATCCTATAAGTTTTGGTATGTTGTCTCATTATTGTCATTCTCTTAGATGAAGTTATTGATTGTTTCTATGATTTGCTGTTTGACCCACTCATTTTTTAGGATTAAATTATTTAGTTTCCAGTTAATTTTTAGTCTATTTTTCCATGGCCCTTTATTACATATGATTTTTTTTATTGCATCATGATTTGAAAAGGATGCATTTAATATTTCTGCCTTTCTGCATTGGATTGTGAGTTTTTTTATGCCCTAATGCGTGGTCAATTTGTCGTCTTGATTTTGTTGTCAAGTTGTCTTGATTTTTGTCTTGCCACTGGACTTCAAGATTCTGGAAGAGGAAGTGAGGCTTTTGATAACTTTGTGCAGCTCTGCGTCGCTTAAGTCCAATTAACATGCTATATTTCATCACATAATCATCGGACCCTCTTTTGTTCTGTTTTGTTTTCATCCAAAAATTGGTTTATACCCTTTCGTTGTGTAATTGTCATATGGTGTAAATCTGTTCAAGGGAAACAAAGCAGCAATGCATTCACCAGTGGTGTATGTGAGCTGGGAGCCTAGAATTCTCAGGCATGCACATTGTCAGTATTCAATTTTGATGTATATTCACCTGTATTCTGTGCATCCTTATCTTGCACCAAAGACAGTTTAGTAATAAATGATTTTTAAGTAACACCAGCACAATTTGTAAAACAAAAAAACTTCACATAATCATCGCACTCCACTTTTTTGCAAAAAAATTGGCGTAAAATCTGCAGTGATTATGTGGTGAAATAAGTACAAATCAGAACATCACCTGTGATGTCATTCCTCTTCCAAACAGAGGATGAAGAACAACAATTTCTGCTCCAGCCCAGGACAGCCATTTTGGCATGGATTGCCACAGCAATTTGCCTGGTTTCATTTTTTTCTTTTTTCTCCTCTCCCTTTTCCATTGTCTTTTCTTCTTTCAAGTTGCTAAGCAATTGGAAAGAATTTTAAAGCTCATAGGATCTTATACGGATCTAGAGCTGGATGTGATCTCAGAGACAATTTAGTGCTTTCTTTTTCATATAGGTAAACTAAGGCTCAGGCTGGGTAAGAGATTTGCCCAAATGCTTCCTGTTTCAGAACACCCTCAGATGACTGGCATTGTCTTTCCTGTGCCTTGTTCCCATCAGCTCTATCAAACCCTCTCTCAGCATAAATTTCTTTTATTAGTGAGCAGGTATAAATCAGTTGTCAATTTGAGTCCAATGATGGGACAATGCCCTTTTGTACTTTCAAGTGTTGTTTGCGAAATGGGAGATTAGCCTGTGAGGGCCCAGTCCTAAGGGCATGCATTGATAGTTCTCTGTCTAGTCCCAGCTTAGCATGTGGAACTTTGGGAGCAGGTTTGGAGTGATAAAGGAATCATTATGGTAGACAAAAAAAAAGCTTCTTAATACAGGAGGTGATGAACTGGAACTGAATCCCTACTTCCTCTGGCGCCCCTGCCAAAGTTCCACATGCTGAGTTTGCCCATTATATTTGTTTCTAGGTTTGATGAGTACAGTGTATTTAACTTCAGTACTTTGAAGACTTTTATTTTTATGGGCACTCTTTCCACTATCATGAAAGAGTGATCCTTCCGTGCTGCTCATTCTGTGTGTTTCTTGACTGTGCCTTTAACTACTCTAAAACTGAATCATAAAGTCATACATTTTTTTTGTCTTCCTCAACTGAAACAATTTCAAATTTGCAAATGTTGTGGTAGAATATAAGCTTCTTGTGGGCAGAGACTATTTCATGTGTATCTTTTAATCCCCTAAGAGCCTAGCAGAGTGCTTTGAATATAGTAGGTGCTCATTAATATTTCCTGAATGAAATTGATTTTTTAATTGGATTACCTGAATCAATGCTCTTGATGAGAATAGGGAGAGGGAGCAGTGCCAATCAGTACTTTCCAGTAAATAAAGTTCAATCCATATTTATATTTTATAGTTAAAAATGGATAGTTGTAATTTTTTGAAATATTCAACTATTTTTGCAAAGCTGATGTTTTTATTTTGTTGTCTTTTCACTAGGCAGTCTATACTTGAAATCTTACCTACTCTAAGAATTCTCAATGGTGAAACACTAAAATCTGATTCACCCAATCATGAAAGCAATGTACCAGAACCAGGCAGTTTTTCAGCAATCTGTCAGACTCAGACCCAGGAATTTAGCTTGATAGTTAAAAAATATGTCACTGAAAAAAGGTATGTAACCTACATTTTATCATAATTAAAATATTAATTTAATTTTATAACAAATGTTTTAATTTAATCCCATCTGCCTGGTCGGGTATAATACCTTTGAAAACTCTCCAGTAAAATTGCGAGATATCAGATAACTTTGAGGTCTGCTGTTTGAAATGATATATATATTCACTTGGAACAGTGCTTAAATAAAAATACTATGTCAAAAAATAATATAAATCTATAGCTGTACATTCTGGGTTTATAGCAAAAACTGAATAAAACTTTCAAAATTACAAAGAAAATTATTAGTATATTTCTGTAGGAATTAATATTTCCTACCACATGACAACCAACTTCATAATTTTGAACCATTTAGATCTTTTAAGGGAAGCCTGGTAGTAGTAAATAATGGAAAGCTAAACTACACTCTCAGTTCTCATTTGTTAATCATTTTTTCAGTCATTTGTTGTCCTTCGTTCTTGAACAAGACCAAAACGACATCATGATATTGGGGGATCATGTCCTTATCACTAATCAGTATGGCTCCATCATCACTGAGTAGGTGAGATGCACCATAGGTCTTTGGCCCATAAATAGCCTTTCAAGGCATTATAGAAGCACTTCGGATTGTTACTAACAGCATAAAACTGAATCTCATCTACATTCTTATTGAGCCAAGAAAACTGTATCTCTCTAAGCTTTGATTCTTCTATACTTTGGATGGAGGTAAATTCTGCCTTCTTAGAAACAAATGAATTATTTGTAAACCCTGTGGAGGTCTCTATTTTTTTTTTTACCATTTAATAGCTTCTGAATTTCCCCATCATTTTCATCAAACCGGTTCTGATGTTTGCAAGTGTTCTGGCCCAGATAAGTAAATGTGATGCTGTACCCCAAATCTCTGAAAGCTGCCTACTCCTTTTCTGTTCCACTATTGCCAGTCATGTGTTGCTTCAGCTTCCCATGTACACAGACCCCCAACCTGAAGTCAGCAACAAACTATTCACACACAGAGAAGTGCTCTAATCTGTTGACACTGCATTTTCTGATCTGTTAATACACACCATGAGAAGTCTGACTTGGCAGGTGCTAATGTCTTTCTTGTCTGCTCATTTGGGGCCTGGAAATTTCAACTCCGATCTTACTGTCCTGCCTGTTGAAGAGATAGGAAAGGGGAAAAAAGAGAACAGGAGAGATTGAAGGTAACGTACGGATCGTTCTTTCCTTAGGAAGAAGAATTGACAACTGGTAATAGCTGCTGAGTAGTTATGGTCAGAGTCAGTACTAGAATGAAGAGGTATTGAAAAAAAAAATAGCTCCCACCTACATTTTTAATTTCCTAAGGGAAATTTTCCATTCATCTGTGACAACTGAATAAACAGCTATTTCCATAACTACTTTTTTTTGCTTATTATTTCTTTCTTAAAGGAAAATGTATTTTTGTTTATGCTTGCCAGATCTAAAATATAGAGACTGATTTTTATTTTAGAATAAAGAATTTCATGATTCCTTCAGAAAAAGAAAATTGAGATTGTGTAACCTGTTGTTTTTGTTTTGTTTTGTCTTACTGTTCTTACATTTTATTTGGATTTAGTGAGATGTTAGTATAGATATTTTTAACTCTAATAGAACTGTGAAAATATAAGTAGTAGAGGTATATTCCTAACAAAACACCATCACCACAACCACCAATAATAATATTGCTTTAAAATTTGCAAAGCGCTTTATATACTGTATCTTATTTGATCCTCCAAACAACCCCTGAGAGGTAGATGCTGTTATTATCCGTCTTTTACAAATGAGGAAACCAAGGCTGAAAAAAGTTAAATTACTTACATCTGGTCACATAGTTATTATGTATCTGAGTAGGATTTGAGTACAGGTCTTCTTGACTTCCAAATCCAGCACTCTATCTACTATACCATCTAGCTATCTAGTAATTATCACTCAATTATGATTCTTTTTCCTGTAAATGAGTTTCATAATTTACTCTGCTCTGTGATAAAGTCTAGAAAAAAAAGTTTTATATTTGATTAATTTAACTGATATTGCATCCTCAACAAGACCAGAGCAATGTATATTGCTAAAAGTCGTTATTTATTAGTCCATGTTTTGCATGTGCTATTACTATTTTCAGACATACTTACTGTGCCAAAGAGTTGATGGTTCAGTATCATACAATATTTTAAACTTCAAAAGAAACAAGCCAAACATGATTTTAAAACAACACTTTTATTTTTATTTGCATTTAAAAACCAGTGTGAGCTCTTGAATTGTAAAGATATAACTATTCAGAAATAATATTCCATATGTATTTATGCATATATAGATATACACACGTATATAAGTAGTAAGTATCTATGTATGTACATATTTGTACTTTTTTGCAGGTTAACATGACTCTTATATAGCACTGAAATTTACAAAAGGCCTTTTTACATGAATAATTTGAAGTGGTAGCAGTTAAGGTGAATTATATTATTTAGAAAAATAACAGAAAGATACATCTTTGCTTTTATTTGTTTACTAAGCACGTGGCAATATTCAGTGCATTGCCATAACTGTATCTGATATGCTATAATTCTCATTATCCCTTCCTCATCCCTCCTATGGTTGGAATTATTAATATAATGCAGCCATTCTGTGCAAAGGGCCTAATAATTAATGTGACGTTTGACTATATACTGAGAAAACCTTTAAAGCAAATAAAATATAGCTGATGATTTTACCTGACCTTTTAAAATTTAGTTTGTTCAAATTTGTAAACTTAATATTGTGTTAAAGTATTTGAATTCTTTTTTCAAGTGAATTCTCCTTCAAGTGAAAAATGGGAAAAAACCTTTCCCATAACATCAGTCCTTTATTTAAAAGTCCAATAAAAATATTTTGCATGGCAAGATTCAATGTTGGAAGAACTTTCAAGTTTATTTCATAAATAGCTTCTCCAAATTTAGGCAGCAGCAATCCTCATAGGCTTTCTATGTGCATCTGATGTTTACAGTTGTGAAGGCTTGACTCTTTCTCATTCATTTGTACAAAAAAAAATACCTAGTGGAGAGAAGTGTAGCAAAATAAAACCAGACATTTTGTCTCATCTAATGATTTAAAATTATGTAAACAAATATTTTTATGAAAAATAAGATCTATTAAAAAGTAACCAAACCTATATAAATTTCTAATACTTAATATCAATGGGAATCATGGTGTTCATTAAACTTACTTAAAATTGTAACATTTTCTTATATTTATTATGATAAAATGCTTTTCATACTTTTTTCTTCAGAAATATACACTCCTTAGATGCCATAGATGACTTGTGCTGTTATTTTAATGAGCTGATGAAACTTAGTAATAAGTACAGAGATGCTCATGAAAATGGAGATTTCAGAATCATTGATAGAGATGAAGATTTAACTATCAAGACGAGAGACCAATCAGAAGAACAGCAAGGTCATTTGAAACAAGTAGCTAGTAACAGTCCACAGCAAAACAACCTCTCCATTGCTGGGGTAAATGAAAATAAACAGGATTTTCTGGAAGCTTCCCAAAAAAGAATTGATCCTGACAACAGTGACTCTGGATTCGCTGCATTTTCCATACATGAGCACATAGAGAAAAATAATCAAAACCAAAGAGTCCAGAGAAGGAGGAAAGGCATTGTGAGCACCAAAATTCGTACCGAGAACAGCACTGTCACTGAGCCATTAATTACAAGTGAAATGGAAAAGGATTTCCAACATATTCAGAATGATGCCAAAAAGTAAGGTTTACAAAAATAATTTTTCTTCATAATATCACACTCTTGATTACATTTTATTGTATGATCTTGGGCAAAAAGTAACCTTCTAGTACTTTTTGGTGCAGGTATAGATTTTAAATGACCAGACACTTTGTATTTTGTTGGTTATTTGTAGAGCAGTGCCAATATTTTTTTTTCTCCAATATATCCACCATGCCTAAAACAGAATCACTTTCATTTTCTGCCATATTAATTTGGTCAATTCTGCTAACATGTAATTGAATATTAGATGCTATTCAGAGTTTCTTGTAAAATTGTCTTCTGAATTCTTGTTCATTTAAAAATAAATGTTCTTTTTGGAAGAACTGGTACTTGTGTTCCTGGAAAGGGTAAAGAAATGCCCTTTGAAGAATCAGGCCTTTCTAACTTTCTTTTCAGAGAAGGCTTATACATTTACTATTTATTCACTGAATTTAATTGAGTCCAAAAATTATTGAATTTTATTATATGTATGTTTGTTTTAGCTTCCTTTTTATAAGGGCCAAGTGAATTATGCCAATATGCCTTCTGATTTAACTGCATGTATCCTTTTTACTTTTCAGCTAGAGAACTATTTTAGTAACCAAGAATGACATTATGAATGGTTAAATGGTAAATCAGTTTACTTTTTCTGTAATAAAACATGGTTTTAGCTTTAGTCTGTTATATTTCCTTCTGCCTATCACTCATTGACTCCATTGTCAAGGTTGGGAAGAAGAAGAATTGTTTCAGTTAATTTCTCTAAAATAATGGCAGATCATAACCTCTCTAGGCTTTTACATTCTGTATGGTTGCTGTTCGTGTTTTTCTGTAAATCCTCCACAAAGAATCTACCTGACTCACTGGAGGCTTTCCTTGGTTCCCCTAAGATTTCATGGATCCAAGCACAATACTTTGGCTGTCCAGTTATATTTCAGTCTCACTACATGACTTGTCCAGCTACTTATGTCAGACTACACGTATAGGAGTGCTGTTTATATTCTACTTCTTTGGCACGAGTCAAGCAAACATTAATCAATGTCTTCTATACTGTTATAGGGGCAGGGAATACAAAGACAAAAGTCAAACAGCCCCTGTCTTTGAGAACCTCACATTTTATCAGAGGAGACATGTACATATAGAAATGTATAAAATACAAACGAAACTAATCTGAGGTAGTTTGTGTTGGAGGTGGGGAAGATATTGACCATTGGGAGATGAGGAAAGGTCTCAGGCAGAAGGTGTCACTTGATCTGAGCTTGGAAAGAGACTAGGGATTCTGAGAGGCTTAGATAAGGAGAAAATGCATTCCAGGCATGGAAGATAGCTTGTACCAAACCAGAGTGACAAAGGACTGAATGTTGCCCCTATGCCACAGGCAGAAAAGATGTTCAGCTAAACCATGGAGTATATGAAGGGATGTCATATGTCACAAAGCCTGAAGGGTTGGAGCTAGATTGTGAAGGATTTTTAAATGTAAAACAGGGGACTGTGTATTTGATCTTAGACACAATAAAGGGAGGGCTGGACATTGTTGAGGAGGGGAGTAACACAGTCAAGCCTCATACTTTTGTGTAATCACTTTTGCAGGCAGCTGTGTGGGAGATGGATTAGAAAGAGGAGAGACTAGAAGCAGAAAGATTCATCAAGGAACTATTGAAATAGTCCCAGGGAGAGGTGTTAAGGCCCGATCCAGGGTGGTAGCTATGAGAGGAAAGAGAAAGAGATGCGTGTAAAAACCTATTGGGGAGGTGCAGTTAAGTGTTGGCATCTGAATGTATGTGTGGGATGAGAGTAAACCAAGAGTCAAGGATGTTTCCAAGGCTTAGAACCCAGAGGAGCAGAAGGATGGTAGATAATATCTGGGGACAGAACTTGGGTTAGGGGGAAAAGATAAAGTTCTGCTTTAGTCTTATTGAGTTTAAGATGTCTCCAGGGTAATCCAGCTTGAGATATTCACTGAGGAGTTGGCAAGTTTCAGGCCTGGAGAGGGTTTGGTTTTTATAGCTAGATCTAGGAGTCTTGTGCATAAAGATCATAATTAAAGCCATGGAAGTTGATGAGCTAACCAAGAAAGAGTGTGAAAAGAAAACAAGAGGGCAGATTCTTAAGGCCTGCTCAAGTTACTGAGCATGACATGGGTGATGATCCAGTAAAGATATAGGCAAAGGGAGAATTGAGAAATAGTTGGGTTGTGAAAATGCAGAGGAAAGAGAGTAGAGTGTCCTGGAGGAAACGGCGTTCACAAGTACCGAAGGCCTCATAGAGGTCAAGAAAGATGAGAGAAGAAAAAGTGAGCAACATTGGCAGTTCGGAAATCATGGCAGCTTTGAAGAGAGGAGTATCACTTTGCTGAACGGGCTGGAAGCCAGGCAAAGTGAGTAAGGAGAGAAGTAGAGGCAATGAAAGTGGAGGCTTCTTCTTTTTGTTTGGCTATGAAAGGATGGAGAAATAGCAACAGCTTGAGAAAGAGAGGGGGTTTGGGACATCAGTTAATTGTTTTGTAAAGATGGGGGGGTGACTTGGGGTATATTTGTACATAGCGGGGACAGAATTAATAGGTAGGGAGTAATCAAAAATTAGAGATGAGAGAGAATTGTGGGGGCAGATTACCTGAAGAGGGGGGTTGGAATCAAGGTTAAGTTCTGAGGGGTTGTCCTTCGGAAATTAACCAATCTGTATTTATTTAACAAGCATTTGTTAAACAGCCACTTATATGTGTTGGGGATATAAAGAAAAAAATGACAGTTTCACTCTCCAAGATCTTGCATTTTATCGGGAGAACATGTTCTATACATACATATGTACATATATATATATATACACACACACACACACACACACACACACACACACGTGTGTGTGTGTGTACACATTCATATATATCCATATACTATATGCACCCAAAATAAACATAAGGTTTTGGGGGGCTGGGAGTAGGAGAAAAGGTATTAGGAACTCCCCCTCCACTCATATAGCTACCACCATAGTTTAAGCTCTTGTCACCTCTTACATGGAATATGCCATTAACTTCTTAATTGGTCTCACTGCCTCAAATCTCTTTTCCACCCCAATCCATTCTCTGCATAGCTGCCAAAGCCATTTTCCTAAAGCACAGGTCTGACCATGTCACTTTCTTACTCAACTTCAATGACACCCTATGAACCATAAAATACTCCTCCATTGGACATTTAAAACCCTTCTCAACATGGCCCCAACCTGCCTTTCCAGCCTTATTGCACATTATTCTCAGGTATTCTATGGTTAAACTGAACTGTCCTTTTTGTTATTCCTTCTCTTGATCCCTCATCTATATGTTTTTACAACAATTGTCTCCCACACCAGGAATGAGCTTCTGTCTTACCTCTTCCTCTGAGAATTCTTTGGTTTCTTCAGGATTCAAGTACCACCTTCCATGAAGTGTTATTTGAATCCCTAAGACTGCTGGGCCATTCTTCCTAATTACGTTGCCTTTTTTTGTAACATGCCTATACATGTGTGTGTGTGTGTGTGCACATATTTTATTTCCAAAGAATGTATGTATGTTCTGTGAAGGCATGGACTGTTTGATTATTTTTCTTTGTATCCCCATCATTTAACATAGTGCTTGACATTGAATAAAGTACTTAATCTTTAATTGATTGTCATTTCAAGCCCTTCATAATCTTGTTCCAATCTACTTTTCCAGCCTTATCATACACAATTCCCCTTCACACTCTGTATGGTCCAGCCAAGCTGGCTTTCTTTGCTCTTCCTCAATCAATGTGTTTCTCACAACACTCTCATCTCTCCTCTCTCTGCTTTTGGATAGGCTTTCCTCCATTGCCTCCTCATTTCCACCTCCTAGAATCTCTAGCTTTCTTCACAAAATTATTCGGATGCCACCTTTGATCTAAGACATTTGCTAATTCTTCCAGCTGCTAGTTCTGAGCCTGGAGTAAAGGATCAGAGAACAGGGGGATGTTATTGTGGGTAAGAAAGCAGTGATTGAGATGTAGAGAAGAGGAGAAAGGGAAGTTTTTGAAGTCTGTTTTAGAGCAGCCACTTCATGGAATGTAATAGAGAACAGAGTAAAAATATCGTCTTGCTACAGTAAGGGTCCAGGCAAAATGAAATCATATATATTCACCCAATCATCACAGTTATGGGACTTTATCATTATTCAGTCGTGGTGAGTCATCTTGGGTTCATGTGCCACAATCAACATGCCTCCACAATGTGGTTTTTTCCCCCCCATTACCCTTTGAATTACCTATAATTTTGACTTCCCTGAAAGCATAATGTTTTGTATGTCTCAGTAAGATAGCAATTCCAAGGGAATATAAGCATTAAAAAGGTGGGCATCTGTATTGATAAGTAGCTTGGGAGCATTGAAATGGAAAAGCTCATACAGTTTCCTCCTGATTAGTTCTGGGCCCAGTTCACTTTCTGTGTTCAATGCCTGTCTGAGATAAATGCAAGTGCACCCACCCACCCACCCACACACACACACACACACACACACACACACAATATATATATATATATATATTATATATATATATATATATATATATATATATATAACATATATATATATATATATATATATATATCCATGAACATATAGATATATGTGTATCTAAAAGTATGTGTACATACTAATGGAATAATTCATTGGGCTCTCTATTCAACTATTTGTCATAATTAGGACAATATACATCCTTTATCCACTGTTTTTCCTGTAGCATAGGTTAGTTGATCTCTCACGAGCAACTGTATGTAGCATCAAGAAGACTCTAGTGTTTTGAGGGACTGATACAATCAGCCCAATGTCATCTGCAAACAGCAGTGCTTGGAGAGCCTCATCATGGTTAGGGAATCCCTTCTTTATTTGGAGGTTGTGGAGATGTCTTCTTACGAGGAGAGATTGTTTCATTCTTTGAACTAGTATGCCCTCATCCCTACACCCACCCACACATACACCTAGCACAGTGTAGGGCACATGGTGGGCAATTATTAAT